TATTTCATATTATATGTATGTATATATATATGTATATATATACTCTGACTTTTCCAATCATACTAGTATTTCTACGCGGTGTGTCGAGTACGAAGTGAACTATGTGTAACGTACACCATTCTGGTGTGAATGTGTATGTACCTATCCGGGTGATATCATTCACCACTAGACAAAAACATGCACTCATCCAACTGACTTCGCATGCATTTACCGATTTAAGTCTCGATATGGTATAGCAGCATCAGATAAACTATTTATCATAAATGTCGAGTCAATCCATAGTCGGGGCGAGATCAGATCACATTTTGATATCTGTCCGTGTAAGCTAAGAAAATCGAACATTTCTATACACGTAGATCCATTTCGAAAAACATAGAGCCCCGAACTTTTCTATATCTAAGATGGCGTCTATAATTTGAATTCCGCCATCCTGTCCCATCTGAACCCTACAGTGATGAAAGCATACGCGGGCGAGAGATTGACTCGTTCAAAGAGACATACTCAAAGATCGACAGCTCCATTGCCCTTCTCTGTGTGTGCGGGAATCACGATGTGGGTAACACACCCACAACCAACACTATAAGCAATTACAAAAAGGTATTCGGCACTAAAACAAGGAAGTGTATAAGGTTATTGGTTCTTAGATATGTAAGGTTGTAGAGGCTCATACTGAATGATTACTTAGCAATGACAAGAATTGGCTTCTAATGCTGCGAACGGATACCATTTTTAAAAATGTTTTAGGATAAAATGAAGTCATCTGTTTACGGATGTCAATACCATATTTGTTCAATATTGTGGCGACGAACAGTTTCGTATAAATATCTTACTTAATCCTGATTTGCTGTCTACTTCTATTCAGGATTTCGGCGACGATTACTTCTCATTCTACATTAAGGGTGTTAAAGGTATTGTGCTCAATTCCAATCTACTCTACGACCCCAGTGGAGCCATTGACGAGTACGAGAAACAGAACGTGTGGCTCCAGAATGAATTGGCGTCGGTCGACCATACAAAAACGCGCGTGATAGTGTTTATGCACCATCCATTGTTCTTGAAGGTATAGTAGGCAATCGTCCTTCGTTCCAAATTAAGTTATATATATATATATATATATATATATATATATATATATATATATATATATATATATATATATATATATATGTATGCATGTATATATATATATATGCGTGCAAAATACAAAATATCATGTACTGGATGCATCACAGACGTGTGCGAGATGCCTGACGAGGTATACAAATATGGACAAGCTAAAATCAACTTATTTCTCATCCGCGTCTGCATTATTTCAACCTAGATTTTCGCATGAGCAGATACGTATTCAAATAGTCCAAGCATACCAGAGGAGGGATGAACAGCTGCGACATAGTGCTTTTCGATAGTCTGTATTCGTATGGTTTGCACCTTTTAAAACAGAGTTTAACTGCGATAGTCGTGACTTTTGCGACGGTAGAAGTATTGCATTAAACCGATGGATGATACCTAAGTATCAAAAGTGACACTATGTTGTGTCCAGTGCCCCTTGTTTCGGTCTATACGTTTGTGGCTTTCGCAATATTTCGGATCATTTGTTAATTATAATTCACATGAAGCAACAGTCAACACTGTACGAGAAGTAAAATAATTCTATGATGTGAGGACGCAATCGATTCGATCAAAAATCAAAACGACAGCCCGACAGGACTTCTCAAAAAAAAAAGGGTCACAACTCTCATACGTCTACTCTCATCAGTCATCACTCTTTATGAGTCGCAGCTTTTAAGCATTCGAAGCGTTTTGCGCAAGTATTATCACAGCGTCTAATGCCAATCGGATCCTGTACTGAGCTCCTAGTAGATACGTAGTTTGCTGATGATATTGTAATCCAGTACGCAAGCTATCTGTTCATGACCACGCGATTATGTCAGCACAAGAAGAGGTCAACCTCAACCTCTTGAGGGTACGTTGATTCAATTCTTGAGAATAGGAATATTATTAGGGGCGCGTAAAGAACACCGCGCACTAGCCTGCACTTTGTTTTGGACAGGAATATTTTTATATGGATTCCTGGATTGGTCTTTAGTATGACAACCATCAGACTATCTGACTTATCTGGTATACAAAGATGCACTCACCATCAGGTCAAGCTGTGTCATACCGGGGTTGCTATACTATTTTCACTCTCAACTAAAAATACCGAGCGAGAAACACAGTTATATTGTCTCAAATGTGATAATCGAAATA